TAGGTCCCAACCTGCAACATAAGGTATCAAGATACGTTATATTTTAAATACTAAAGTTCAATCCAATCACTCTCCTGACTCACTGACTCACACAGTGATAGCACTGTGTGAGTCAGTGGCTATAAAGTGTAAATCACACCTATTTCTAGTTCACACGCGATATGCGCTGTCCAATGATAGACAGACCCCTTACTTTTCCGAAGGAACAACCTCAACACGATATGTTCAGGGCAGAATGGAAATTCAGTACCTACAGTTTCTTTGTTTTCGAAATGACTAGAAAACAAAATGAAGTGTACTATGTATTTAATTTTCTATTTTACAGAGACGGACTGTGATCATAATTACCTAACACATTTTCTGTTTTCGGAAACAAAATAAGAATGTTGAGTGCGTATTTACCTTTTTATTTCGTCCTTATTTGCCTCAGTGAAGTTTATGGAAAATTTCTGGTACAGTGAACGAGTGTCCCTAGCCATTAGGGACTCACTAAAGTAAATTAAAAAATAAAAGAGACCTCGCCGACACGCCATCGCTAATCAAGAAACGAGAGACTCCTGTTTTGTTGAGACTAACCTGGCCAATGTTACTAGATAATTTATAAAATACAAAAGAAAAACTTGTAAAGGAAATCAACAGGAATATTAATGACATAACAGAATAAGTAGTGACTTCACTAAATACAGCGTAACCTTTAAGGGACGCATTTTATTAAAATAATTGTTTCTCATATTTATGTTATACAATGAACTTAAAGAACATGAATGCAACTGATTTTATAACTTAACAAAAAATGTTGAGTACTCCTAACATGTGACGTAAACGTATTTGCAGCAAATCACACATAGTTTTTGCACCTAGGTAACGTGACGTTGTGTGTGACACGCGATGTCTCTGATAGACACTGGACCCTATTGCCTTTTGCGAACTGCCATCGTTAAGCAATCCACTTCCCAAGCAATTATCTATCGTTTAGCTACCTGATAACATCGCTGTTAGTTTGACAGCTTAATTCTAAAATAATTACGGTCGAATATCAAATTGTTATTGGGTTTTTCCATTACGAAATTCTCGGTAGCTCGGAGTCTGGACGCCTATACACTCGCCCCTTGTTACTTCGAAATTATAATCGTAATTTCGGTATACTATACCTTCGGGGAATAAAAGCGTGTTGCTATGTAATCCACTTAATTGTGAGTTGTATAGAAACTGGACGTTATAGTAGTAGATATTTGAATGAGCAATAAATATATGGATTTAGCTATTTCAGTCCAAGGGTTTCCTATGTAAAATGTTCTTGTTATTAATATCTACGTTTACAGAAATTCAATGTTCAAATAAACGAACATGTATAATTATATCAGTATATAATTGTGAAAATTGCTCAAACAGTTTGTTTGAACAATTTTGTGCCACAATTTCTTTTTGATGTTTTTATGGTAATCAGAGCATTTCATCTGACTGCGCACAGAAATTGTACAAGCGTTCTAACTTATTTTATGTAGATTGAAAATTACTTAACAGTCTATAGAGTATACGTTTTAATAATCGCTACGGTAGTGCTACGCAAGTGCTACGACACTGGCTACGCAGCGCTACGTAAGTGCTACACAAGCTGTTTGTGCCTACGTCAGCGGCGCGACAAGCTCCAAATAGAGTGACCCTACATGAACAGTTTTAGCGTAATCGATATTCAGAGTGAACAACATTTTATCGATAAAAAAGATCAGTATAATCAAGTGTTTAGTAAGACATTCTAAGGCATTCCGACAGAAATAGTCGTAGGTAGATGTCGTGGGCGACGGTTATTTCGAATGAACTAGACGTATTTCTCTCAAAATTCATAATTTATTATTATCTAACATAGATTCACGAGAAATCTTTATTACATTAGGTTTTTAATGTAATTAAAGTAACATTCTAATTTGAGTTCTTTGATATTAAAGTTCTGTGGGTACCTAAATGTCTAAAATGTTAATTTTATTTTGGTGAATATTTCTTTTATGTTCGCTATCGTAGTTGGCCAGAGTAAAAATAACCATAGTAATAATACTGGGACTAATTAATGTGGACATTATGTCTGGAACGTTATGTAACACGTTACTGTATGGCATCCCCCCTCCCCCCATACCATACACACTATGAAAGTCCAGATAAGCGGTCACGTGTTTCTCTTACAAGGCCACCTAACTAAATATGTAGTGTTAAAATTTTGCCGAAAATAGAAATTGAATAAAATTTACCTTGCTTTTAGTTCACTTTGTATTCTATTTAAATATCAGGTCAATGGATAAATAAAAACTAAACAAAGTGGTGAAGAGTATTAGTAATAAATAATTACTTATACTAATTATTGCCAACCGCAATAATTTTATTCAGACTGCATCAATCTATTTACATAATTATCCAATAATTAGCAACAAATTGTAATGTTAATTGTAACTTAACTATATAGAATTAGAATCAGCATAAAGCACCTATAGAAATACAATTAGCAACATACTTACGACTCAATAATTTCTATACCAGCAAATACCTGATGTCGAATACATTTATTCAAGGTATAATAATTTAAGCCATTTCAAATGTAAATTAACATATTTATAGCTTCAGTATTCAGCACTCAAAAGGATCATAATTAATATGACGTTACGTTCATAATATGTCACGTAAAGGCATCAAAGGAATAGAACTTCACATCAAAATATGATTAAACTTTTTACAGCTAACGTTACTTCCACTAAGATTCCTGTACGTCGTTTAGTCTACTAAGTTGTTCAAGTAGTTTCATTAAAACTTTCTATATAAAACGACGAACATAAAACAGATCGTCACAATTACGAAACAAGTCGCTATCGCCGTCAAAGGCGTATCGATTGAGAGGAGCTCATTACGTGCGAGCTTCGCGAACAAACTATCCATAAATGTTTTTTCAACAACTTCGAAAGAGATTTCGTCAGATTCGCAAAAAGTCACTAACGAGTGCCTTAATTCCGGCAGAAGTTAGCCGTCGGGAGCACCTTCGCCACGTTAGTCTCAATTAGCCGTTGTTCCACCTCTGCGGCAAAGTTGCGGTCGCACGCCACGCGGCGGCGCTACCGGACAAACTTGCCCAATTATTGTCATTCGACTTCCACAATTCACATGGTCTGGACGTACATACTGCGCCGTATATTTCAGAGAGCACAAACCGCGATAAAAATTGTCGACTCAATTTTAAAGTGGTGTTGATAACTGAGTTGACAGTCCCTCGCGGTTTGTTGTTATTACCTGTTCCATTTCTGTTATAACTTTCTCAATTTAGTATCTTCACATTGTTACTTTGTGTTTTATTGAACAGAACTCAACGTTTATTTTGGTTTAAGTGCTATTAATAGCTTCCAATTTGTAGGCAAAGCTAACTAACCCAAATAAACGTTTGGAAGCTGTGCGCAGTAAAGATAATGACATGATCGTCCGATCCGTGTGATTAAATTATGGTGTCGACCGCACCGTCAATGTGATGGGTGGCCAATTTATGACGCCTAATTTACTCCGTTCGCCTCTGAGAGGGCATTACATCACCGATCCCGGGTGATATTACTAAGTGACATTCGACATTTACTTGCCTTCGATCGGACATCACTTATGTCACACGTTGTAGATGGCTCCGGACTGAAAGAAGTTCCTTTCTACTTTGGAGAATCGACTAACGAATGCTTCTTACTCCAAAGAACGATTTTCGCGAGAAAATACGGTTAGATAAAGATTACGTGACATTTTACTTAACCGGTGCTACTAGCTTCTAAATTGCTATTTGCTCACATTACAATAACAACCATGTTATCATGAAAAATATAAATCTAAATTCGTTCATAATAACGAAGCCAGTAAACACCATAAAGTGATTTCTAATCAAACTTTACCCCACGCTGTCGTACTAATCCGTTATAAACAAGTCATTAAAGTTTTCCATATAGAAGTAAACATAAAAATCCGTCTATTAAAAGTTTAGCGGGTCTGACGTGCGAGCGTGCGTGCAAAATGAAACCACAAAAGTTTTCACGGCTCAACGCTGCTTACCAAATAGAAATAAAGCGGTGGAAACGCTAACAATTACCTTTTCTAACAGTTTAAGGATTTATTTTGACGTAAGAGCTGGTTTGCGATCTTGAATTGTATCGTGGTCGTAAATTGAAATCGCTAATCCGCATTGACTAACGTGGTGAAAAATTATTCTATGCTTAAAAGCTTTTGATCAGCAATTGTCACTTATAGACTGTTAATATGATGTGATGTGTGCTTAGATCTGATGTTTTCAGTTATTTATCAACAAGTTTAAATTTTACTAAATGGTATGCAATACTACCTACTGAAAATGACCAAAAGAAAAAACAACACATGCATTTACAGCCATTTACAACAATCTATATTAAACCACTTTACAGAATATACAAACTTTTCAGACAAACCGCAGATCATTGTTGTTTATGTATATTTTATTGGAATACACGTTTCGGAGTTCACCACAACCGTTTCACAAAACCTACAATCCGTTCCCGCCAAACATCAATCGAGTGCCGGTTCAATTTGTAACTGATACCACTGAAATACTGTTCTTGATTGGTAATAACTCCATTCGGCTATTGTAAACATCACTCCCTTTTTTTCACAATGACGTCTCGTGGATGGCCTTATGAAAGGATACTTTACTGGACGTTACATCATTTCTCGAAAGGGTATGCAGAATTGTGTTTATAAAACACATTTTTTGTCAGTTATGTTATTAAATACATGGTCGAGCTAACTAAATACTGAGCACAATATCGAAATTAGTAGCACTGAGAACATCGACCTGATATGCTTGTTCCGGGTATAGTACCCAAGTTCTCATACAGACCAGTAACAATGGAAAGCGGTCTACAAATGAGGCAGTACCTAAACACAGTGTACCAACAAAAACAAGACCGCGACATATTCAGCCTGTTTATCCATCCAGTGACCTAGTTATTCTGTTACAGGGTGTGTGCAATGTTCCTGCCGGAGTTCGCGAGTTTCGTCGCCGCCATCTTGTTTGCTGTTCATCCTATTCATACTGAGGCGGTGAGTACATTTTTATAGGTATAGTGTACCTTGTCAAGTGTCTATCGTGAGTGATGTGTGGCTCTTTCCAACTATGAATGTTTACTTAGGCTTAAGCCAGGTCTCGCTTTGTGAATGTACCTTTTATGTTGGTTACAGTTTTAAGCCTTTTGGGTGTTTTAGAAGATGTTTTGAATTTTAATAGCAATGTTTAATACAAGTGTAGTCGGTTTTAGAGTATCAAAAATACCATATATAAATACGAGACTCTACAGTCTTCATACGACCACTAAGAATATAAAAAGTCAAATCATCTACATCCTTGAAATTGTTAGTCAAAATACGAATACTGAGACCGCCATCGATCTCAACTGTCATAAATTATCTCTCTGTTACATCAACTAATGTAAAAATGACAGAATGAAAGTAAATAACGTTAGACTACAGATTTTTTTATATCTCTTGAGAATAAGAACCTTCCAATATACTGAGCAGTAGAACCAGAAGGAGTTGTCAATGATTTATAAGAAGACAAAAATAAGCTGGTAACATTGTATCCGAGGACGTAGGAAGGGTCACTTATTACTGCGAAAACTTGATTTCCCCATGAATTATTCACACGTCAAACAGCAGTCACTCGGCGTACGACATACAAAGGAGCTGTCTGATTCGTCAACAGGACCCTGAAAATAGTGAGGGATGTATCCTTCTCAAATTATTAAGATTGGGGTCGCCATAGAACCCGTTGAGCTACAAGGCACTAACTTGCAAACATACAAATATATAACGGAGAGCGTTGATCCCAAAATATGATTCCTATAATTTGGGTTCACATAATAACGAGGGTCTTCCTTTGTCTTCCCTTTAAAGGGATCCTCGAAAAGTTATTTATCGACACATTTTTCACAAAAGATGGCTTAAAAAGGTCTTAATGGAAGGCTGATTAAATTCGGTCGTCATTAAACCAATTTTGAACATTGCATCCTTTTATTAAAAGTTGCTTCATCGGTTGGAAAATTTCTACGCTTCAACTTTATTCAATCTTTTTTATCGCTGATCTGCAAAATATTTCAGACGTTGCATATGAGTTTTTTGAAATGGTTTTATAACTTTGATCCGAGCCAATATGTTGTATCGGATGGCATTCGGTTAATATTCATTCCAGATTTAAACGTTTTGTGTTCGAAATAACAACATGCTGTGTATGACAGTATCCGTTGTGATTTTTCGATTTCACCGCATATTTGGTTCGTTATTCCAATCGTGTGTTGTTTTCATTTGAACTCTGCATCATATTTTAAATTTTTCATTGCAAAATTAATCTCTATCTATCTTTGGGATTAATTGTAGTTAGGTAATGTTTTAAGAGTATACATAACTTAATAATAAATCAATGATCCTTGTATTATTTTCCTTTCTCCTCATTCAAACTTCAATTATATAAACACATTGTATGATAATAATATTTATCAAACTTAAAAAAACCACATACTCTTAAAAAGCTCATCATATACAAATTGCGGTTGGGACGATATTTCCAAGAGCTCTAAAATGTCGCTCGGCCAGTACATAACGCTACATTAGGAACCAGTCGCTGCCACAGTGGCTAGGTATTTGTGCATTTTATGTGCGGGATGCAAGTCCTAGGCCACCTCACGTACGTTTTACGATGCCAATTTCTTTCGGTGACAAGCGCTCTTGTATTTTCTGTCTAGCACATTGAAGGTATTGAACTGAAGAATTTTATTCGCAAATATAAAAATGTTCACGTTGAAATGTTTCTCTGTTTTCGTGTAGATTGTGATGTTTACGAATCTATGTTGGATTGCATTAGTCTGTTTAGGTAGCAGCTATAGCTAATTAACTTAAAAAAAATTGCATTTCAAAGGAAATACCCAAATCCCTTTTTATGAAAGTGACCGAGTTTTATAAGTTAGTAGTGATAGTATTATTCGCTCCCCTGCGTCGTGCATCTCCGGGTGAAATTAACTTTATGCTCGACATAAAAAAATACGACACGCTGACGATCGTACGTCGAGCAAGCGTTTTTCAAAACGATTTTCTGTTTATAGCTGTGCATCGAATAAATCCAATCATGCTTTCGTTGTTAGCCGATTACAGTAAACGTAGTTTTCGATTCAGTATTAAATGTTTATTGATTGAATAACATTATTTTGTAGGTATTCGAATTTGTAATTAAATTTCAATAAAACAGTTTTTTTTAATATGGAGTATATATGGCGAAAAAAATACAATTACTCATTACATGGCTAATAATGGTAGCACTAATTTAGTGTAGTTTAAAGCTCGTGTAGTTTAAAACTCGTGTACACCATAATTCTTCTCGGGAAAATAACAAAAGCTAATGGGAAAATAGCAAACCTGCTATCTTTGTCTAGAGCAGCTCCCATTTACAAACAATGCCTTCTTCTCATTTTATCATCATCAACATCATCATAAGCCCTTTTCAATCCACTACAGGACATAAGTTTTATTACATTTTCTCCTTTTTTACACTCAAACTTCTAAACACGAAGCTGCAATTTGTGAGGTACGTACATACACAGGGTACCGTAATTATGTTTATATTTGTTTCTGAAAAACGGTTGTTGAACGATGGCTATACCTGTGGCAGTTATGGCCGACCGTCCAGTCCGTCGGTACGATACTTTATGGCACCCGTTCTCATGAACTCGCATGGCGAATTTTACGTCCTGTCAGTTGTAAACTTGATGATCTTTAAACTTTTCGTTTATGTCAGCATTGCAATTAGAAATATTCGTTTTTATTATGTCGTATTTTATACGGCATTACTTATTTTTGCGTTGTTGAAAATTATTTAAAAATAGTCTCAAAGCGCAGGCACTTAAGCGTTGTATACTTTAAAAGGATTTTAAAGTCTCCAATTTTAAACGTGAACCTTAAATGGATTAATTTTAATTTTTGCAATCATTTTCATAAAGCAACTTGAGTGTTTTATTACATTTATTATTTTTAAAATGCGTAGGTTTATTTATCTCATCCCATGTGTTTATAAATGAAAAAATGACAGAGGTTCTTTAATGGCATCGCTTTTACTACGTTCCCGTAGTCATTTACTTTTGAAAAGTCCTCTTGTCTAAGTAAAGTTGTGAAGCTATTTCGCGAGGATCACAGAGTAGAGAAAATGTGTTTGTAGTGCGCTCGGTGTAATGAAGTCGTGAACGCGAGTCTACTGCGGGCCCCGTAAGCCTTAACCACGTTTGCTATTTTATAGACTGTGCCACCGTCCTCGCTATTTTCGCAATCTTTACGGCGGCTTCTGAACTTGTCCCTTTTTTCTTAGCTCGCGTTGTAAACTAAAGGTTTTACTTCGAAACGTCGTAAAAGAATAATGTTCTGGTTTGTAAGTAACAACTAGGCGTGAGAGGCAGGCTCTTGAAGAAACATACATCTTGTTTTTTAAAGCATCTTTCATTACAACGTATCGGGCCCAAAAGAAATAACAAAATACCATTACATTTGTCAACTTAGTTATATGTATCCACACAAAAAAGTATACACACTTTGACAGAATTCTCAGTACCTATTCATAAATTATGTATTAAAAATATTAATATATAAAAAATATTGTCAACAGGTGACAGGCGTGGTTGGCCGCGCAGAGATGTTATCGTCTCTATTCTTCCTCGGCGCGCTTCTGTGCTACGCACGCGCTTCACAACGGAGAAGATACACAGGTGACGTGAAAGAAAATTATATCAGTATATTTTTGTATAATATAACTCTTGTGTGGCATATTAAATTAATTATTTTGTTTAACGGCTTACTGGTGTTACTGTGTGATGATAAAACTAGTTTCAAGCCACGTAAAGGACTTGAATTTAAGAGTATCAATGACACACGATGCGTCATGAGTGGCCATTAAACACAATAAGGAATTTGATATCAGTATCAGTGAAAACTCAGTAGATAGGAATAATGTAACGTGACATAAAAACGAATGGACGTCCTGTGCCTGTGTCCATTACTCCGACGTGTCAACAACAGAAAGCTGTGGACAAACATTTTTGCAAACAGATTACCAATGTCAATTTGAGAGTCGTTCGTGTCGTCCGGAATCATAGCACATGGCACGTAGGAGGTCAGGAGTTAACACGAGGTTGTTGTTTGTCGGGATAAGGGTAACTGTCTATGGTTTTAAAATTTTTGAGTATTGTTATTAGTGTTAGCACTAAACTCGTAAAGCCAATGACGTGTAATCTTTAAGCCCATTTTTAATACTTACTTCACGTCATAAATCCATACATTTTTCTTATATTAGGTACGCCGATATATAATCGAACCGTCTTAAACTACATCTGCTCTCAATATTACGCTGAAAATTTAGACCAAAGGTCCAAAATTTCTGATACACCTGTATATTTACTTCTCATATTTTTATGTACACTTCAAACATCAATATTCGATAGGTACTTAGGCTGCGCCCGAATTTGATCCTTGCAGGGTACTGGGTAGCGGGCCCAACATATTTTATTATTTACTTCTTCACTCAGAAGCGCAAATATAAATAACTTATCCAGCGATCAGTTCTCCATTATTTCAAGAATGAATGAGAAAAGTTTTATTAAAATTCTTTTAGTTTTAGTTGTGTTTTGTCGTGTTATTAAATAACTTCGATGCTCAATATTCATTATATTGTTACGTATACTTACAACTTTACTTTGTTATTCAAGAAATTAATAGGAAAAATAATAACTCGATGTATTGTTTGCATAAACTTTTTTATTAGCAAAAAAAGAACGAAAATTTGTTTTTCTTTTTAACTGGATCGTACCTATGTAGAATTTACTTATTGTTGAACATTTATTTGAAAAACGAATAAAATAATTTTAATGTCTTTTACAATTTGCTGTAAAAACAATATCGACCTATAACACTTTATATTTTTACCATCTTGCTTGTCATATTCCTTCATTTTCATCATAACTACCTAGGTACCTACAAGTGGCGTTTGTCCCGAGTAAAAATTCTGAGACAGACAAATAAGCATATAATATAGATATACATATATACTTTTATGGTATAAATCTCAATACTAACGAAATATTGGTGTTTCCAGACTGGCGCTATGTGGTGGCGTGTACAGCATGTGTGGGAGTAGCAATGCTGTGCAAAGAGCAAGGCATCACAGTGACCGGCGTGTGCGTCGTCTACGAACTCTTTGTAGCACAGAAAGTAAGTACATACATACTTGTTATCTTGTTGCTGAAATAATTCATTTCATACTTTGATCAGCTGTGGATCGAAGAGTCAGATAACATACAAATTTAAAAATTTAAAATGACCATCCTTCTAAGCGTTATGCATGATATTTTACGTCTTGTTTCATAACTTAAATGAAATAAATAAATGTATATAATTATTTTAAAATTGGTCTACATGAAGTAAAATTTTAAACGTAACATAACATCACGTCTTTTATCCCCGAAGGGGTAGGCAGAGGTGCACATTATGCCACTGTACAATGTAACACCTACTTTTCACTATTTATGTTATGAGTCCCATGTAATAGGGGGTGAGCCTATTGCCATATAAGGGGCACAATTCCAGACTCCGTACAAATCCCAGTAATACTTTGTCCGACCCGGGAATCGAACCCGAGACCCCTTGCCCGGTAGTCACACTTGCGACGACTCGGCCAAAGAGGGAGTCAAACTTATCGTAGTTTAGGATTAATTGTAGAGTAATAATAAAACAAGGATTAAAAAATTTTTTGCTACATTCCGATGAATGCACTGTTGCTACAATTTTTAGTAACAACTTACTAAAGAAAACTTTAAACTGTCAAACGCCAAGCGGTCACCGGTGACCGCGACCTATTGTTCTTTAATTGTGTCTATAAAACCGGTACTCGACGAGTTAAAATGTGCTGTCGTTATAGATGTCAAAGTCTGTGACACCAACCAGCTTATAGTATACTACACGACACACGAACAAAGTTGCCCAACTATTTTGCAACAATGTTCCGATGTTAGGTATGTTTTAGTCTATCAAGTAGGTAGATGAAATAGACAAGTCTTTTACGCCATTTGACTTTAAGTTTAGTAAAATATGTCTATTGTTACTGTCCATTTTCCTCTTAAATTTTAAGGAACTATTTATTTATTTATTTATTTATGTACACACATTCATGTGTATTGTCCTCTGTGTTCAGACCATCTGTGTTCAGAGGACAATACATATATAAAAACAGAGTACATAGGCCCCACATATTCCAAATGGAATTTCTTCCTGTGGGCCTGTATTAGTTAAGATAAGTGATACTTAATCACCTTTTGGTATTCTAAAACTTTAAGTGACACCTAGCACTAAAAGGAAGGGGTTAGTTTAGATGCTACGTCATGCTGAGTAACTTTTAGTTAAAAGATTGTTTAGGGGAGTTTAGTGAAAACGGCCGTAAGTGGTTCCTATATTAAGTTTCCTAAAAATTGATTGTAGGTAATAAATAAATTGTATTCGATCTTTTACACGAGATAGAATATCCAGGTCATATCAATATCTTTGCGTGTCAATAGTTACCAGTTACAACTAACCAAACCCGCAATTGTTATAATTTCTGGATAAAAACATAACCGGGCATTAAGTAGATATTATATCAGGCTTGTATAATATCCATGCGGTTTTTCCAACCATTCCGAGCCACAGAATTTTAACCATCACGTTGCAATGGTCGGACACGTTTGACATGTTTAATTTTAATACAAAATTGACCAACGAACTGTAGCTTATAATTTTAAATTCTCTATTTTTATTTAATTACTAGCTTCTGCCCGCGACTTCGTACGCGCAATCCCGTTTTCTCCCGTTCCCGTAAGATTTTCAGGTTTTTTTTCTATTCTATGAACCTTCTCGTGACAATAACAAACACAACAAAAAACATCAGCCAAATCGGTCCAGCCATTCTCAAGTTATAGCGTGACAACGGGAAACGGGTTTCATATTTAGTCGGTCAATTTTATCGAATCTGTCTTTTTTATTCATTTTATGCTAATGTACACAATTCGTTTGTCTAGCGTCGAAGTTCAGGGGGTGTCAGTCGCTGGTCGTGGGTTGACGCGTGGGGCAAAGGCTCTGGCTGGGGCTGTGCTTGCGGCGAGGCTGCCCGTAGGGTTGCCACTGTATGCTGCGCCACGCTTGCACTGCTAGCCGCCAGACTGCACGTCATGGGCGCGCAGTTGCCAGTCTTCACGAGATTCGACAACCCTGCTGGAGCTGCACCCCCGCCTGCGAGGTAAATATAAATAACGAACTTTTATTTCTTACTGATATCCCTGTATTAATTTTTTCGTCTGTACGTGTGTATCTATCACTAAAACACCTACCTACGATACACTTTACATCATTCCAATACATCAAATGATGCGTTGATTAAAACTGTATGTAAATACTGCATACAGTCACATACACACACACACATACACATACATACACATATACACACACATACATACACATACACATATACACACACGCATACACATATACACACACACAAACACACACACACACACACACACACACACACACACACACACACATACTCACGACTTCAGTCACCAGGCATATTAATACGTAATTTTCCAATAATTTTTATAGCCATTTCTTTTATCAACAAAATGTAATAATGAGTTGCGTTTTCGCGAACATGTCGTAGTCGTATTTTGTTTAATAGCCAAGCGAGGCTGCCTGTGTCTTTATCGTCCAGTAATAAGGATAATTGGCTTTGACAAGCACACTAGCTGTGAAACGGCCGGCCGCAAGCTAAGCCACATTAATTTTACGACCTTACTCGTTCAGATGCTATTGTTCAACAACGACGAGGATTTTCGGCTTATGGCAGAATTCACTTAAATAGACAAAACATGAGCTTGTATCGTTTTGTGTTAAGAAATGGTAGGCCATTTTGTTTGACAAAAATTGTGTCAAACAAAAGTATTTTATTTGGCTTTATGACTTGAGCAACGAATTCATTTGGCTACTTCTAGATGTAAAGTTTTTGTACTGGATCTTTATAATGTCTCTTAAAACGCATTTAACCAAACGCATTCATACTGACCTAAAAACTATTTAATCAAAATGTTTATTATCAATCAAATAAACACAGGATTGTCTCCAAAAAGACCTTTAAATAACCCTTTGTATATTCTCTTCACAGACATTTAACCTTCGCCTACCTACCAGCTCTGAACGCCTGGTTATTAACCCTACCTGAAGCGTTATGCTGTGACTGGACTATGGGCACGGTGGCACTACTCAAATGTTGGCGTGACCCTCGCAACATCGCCACTTTGACGCTCTTCATCATCATCGTCGCAGCCACTATACACGCTTTGAGGACTAGATCTTCTGCTCTATCTATGGTAAGTTTAACATTTTTATTCTTTCACAGCGAAGTCAAATGAACATCAGAAGATATCAAAATGTAAAAATATATAACAACATGATTCGATGAAGTTTGATTAAGTTTAAACAAAACAGAACTTATCTTGTACAAAAAGAAGCACTTAAACAGCCAACTACTGTGACTTACCTAATCCCCGATTTTTGGGGATTCACGTTTGATGTTTTCCCTTTGTTCTCCAGGGTCTAGCACTACTCGTCTTACCGTTTCTACCAGCATCAAACTTATTCTTCCCCGTGGGCTTCGTGGTTGCTGAGCGGGTTCTGTACATGCCTTCCATGGGCTGGTGTCTCCTCGTGGCCCACGGCTGGCGTCTCCTGGCCAAGAGGCGAGCCAAACTCGCCGCCAGCGCCCTCATATTTCTCCTCCTAGCATTCAGCGCTAAAACTTATATGAGGAATTGGGATTGGAAGACTGAATATTCAATATTTGCTTCGGGACTGAAGGTAAGTTGAAGATAATCTGTTTCACGAAGACTTCAGATTTTAATTAACTTTATTCACATAGAAAATTACACTTACTTGTATTTACGTATAAGAACATAGTGGGATATATTGTGTATACTTTTGCAGGTAAACCGCAACAACGCCAAATTGTACAATAACGTAGGACATGCCTTAGAAGCAGAAGGAAAATACGCAGAAGCACTAGAGTTCTTCAACACAGCAGTTAGTGTACAACCAGATGACGTTGGAGCCCACATCAATGTAGGCAGGACCTACAACCATCTAGGGAGATACCAAGAAGCTGAAGATGCTTATGTTAAAGCCAAATCTCTTCTACCGAAGGCTAAGCCTGGTGAATCATACCAAGCAAGGATAGCCCCTAACCACTTAAATGTGTTCTTGAATCTTGCAAACTTGATTTCAAAGAACGCAACAAGATTAGAAGAAGCAGACATGTTATATAGACAAGCCATAAGTATGCGAGCGGACTATACCCAGGCCTACATAAATAGAGGAGATATTTTAATCAAATTAAATAGGACTAAAGAAGCACAGGAGGTCTATGAAAGGGCATTGCTGTATGACAGTGGGAACCCTGACATTTACTATAACGTAAGTACTTAACATTGGTTTATGATAATTAGGGAAATTGGCAAATTATATTATCTTATAAGTTTAAGGATCATCTAACCCACTCTTCATTTTTCTTCCAGCTGGGAGTAGTCCTCCTAGAACAAGGCAAGCCTTCCCAAGCACTCGCCTACTTAGATAAAGCGTTGGAGCTGGAACCGGAACATGAACAAGCTCTCCTCAATTCAGCGATACTCCTACAAGAACTCGGAGCCGCTGACCTGAGACATCTCGCCAGGCAACGTTTACTCAAACTACTTGATAAAGATGGTAAGGAAATTGCTAACACGACTATTACTTCAGTCATTTGGTAGTTCTAACTATATTGTTTACCCGAAGCTTTGAAAATTGGCAGCTTTGCAGATTTCGATGTGTTTTTCCAATTTAAATTTTGTACCCTCGTACATGCGCCATCTTGGAAAAATATCCGCCAAAAACAGTTTTTCTTTGCATTTGCATTTGCATACGAGACAAACGTTAGCTACTAAATTAAACTACTCACAATTCAACAATTTATGACTAGACAGCTAATTTGTAAAGTAGTTTTAGCGCCAGAGCACAGCAAAGTACATTTTTATGACCATTTTGGGAAACACCGTGTGTTTATAACTGTTATTTTTTATTTTACAGCTACAAACGAGCGAGTACACTTCAATCTCGGCATGGTGTGTATGGACGAGGGCGACGCGGAATGTGCAGAGCGATGGTTCAGGGCAGCTGTTCATCTGAAACCAGACTTTAGATCTGCACTCTTCAACCTCGCCTTACTCTTAGCTGACAGACGGAGGCCATTGGAAGCTGCGCCCTTCCTAAAGCAGCTTGTCCGACATCATCCTGATCATGTGAAGGCGTTGGTGCTTCTCGGAGACATCTACATCAATTCTGTTAAAGACTTGGATGCTGCTGAAAGTGTGAGTAGATTTAAAGATTTCCTGTGATTTTTATCAATATTATTAGGTATATCAGCCACGAGATGTCCACTGCTGAACATAGGTAGACTTCTCCAAACGATGATGATAGGTATACGTAGATACACTCCTTGCAACGTATTTTTAACCAGTTCAGGGTCATAATTCCAATTCTAATAATAAAATCGGAAATTATAAAAATTGGACCGATTTCTTCGATGTCGAAGAAACTGGGTTATCGGAGTTAAATGAGAATTTGAAATGGTTTGAATAACAAGGCATGTATTGTGCGCAGTGTTACCGGCGCATCCTGGAGCTGGAGGCGGACAACGTGCAGGCGCTGCACAACCTGTGCGTGGTGGCGGTGGAGCGCGGCCGCCTCGCCGCCGCCGAGACGTGCCTGGCGCGCGCCGCGCAGCTCGCGCCGCACGAGCACTACATCCAGCGCCACCTGGCGGTCGTCCGCGCGCGCCGCGCCGCCGCCGCCGGGCCCGCGCCCAGCGCGCCCCCCCACCCCGCCGCCGACACCAGCGCCACTAGCGCCGCCAGCGAGGTGCGCGCGCGGTGGAACTACATCCCGCAGCAGCCCCCCGACCCGCACGAGGCCGACGACTCATAGCCGACCGCGCTGTACTAGACTCCGACCCCGACCCGACGTGTAAATAACATTTCGCTTAGGAATATCTTCTTTGAACACCAAACTGAACGAACGGCCAGTCGCGGTATATCTGCCTATCGATTATTTTTATAATTTCTTCGAACAATCAGGGTATTACCTTCTATCTGACTCGGACATAATGTATTGTATTTCACCTTACTGTTGCTTTGTTTCGATTGTTTCCCTCTCAATTTATGGAACTACCCATTTTGTAACGATACTGAACGAAGTGTTTACGCCAAACGATGTAATAAAATTATTGATCTCGTAGGTAAAAAACTTGATTTGCATAACGGCGTTTCGTGATATTAGTTAAAGACATCATTAATTATAATTGTGTATGCCATATATGAATAGGTATTATGTAGACTATGTTTCAACGAGCTTTTGTCATTAGCCCGGTATACGGAATGTACGGACAATTACAATATGTGTGTATTTAAAAAAATAATTGGAAATAGCATAATAGACATGTATAAACTGTTTCCAGTAAATTAATTATCTAAGTTTCTCTAGTCACAATGCTCGTTTCGATAAAATGTTCGGTTATGTACTATAGTTAGAGTATGAAATACATTGCATTGTACATGAAATTAAAGTTGAATGACCCCGTGCTTCGATTAGGCGTGGGTGTAGCACTAGTGAGGCGCCCCGCATCGCTGCGAATCCATCTGTAATCAACCATCGTGTTACCTAGATAAACGACCATTTGTATAAAGGATCAGTCATTACCTGTTCAAATAATCACAATCACATGCTCACCGTCCAACAAAGTCTTTGGAGAGTAACCAGTGAACACAGTGACAAATCAGGAGGCCATCAACCACCATTGTGAAGAAGTCGAAATTAATTCAGTATGTATCTTCTCGGAATCTTAGCAACCTGTGTAAATTTACTATTTCATTCTGAGTTTGTACTTATCTGCGGTGCACACTGCTGTTATGTTTTAGACTTTTTTATAGGAATTTGGTACTTGATTTTTGTACTGCATGTAGGAGATGACAATATAACATAACAGCCCCAAATAATACTAAATCTAATAATCATATTCGTGGACGCCGCGCCGCTGCCGGCAGAATTTCTTTCAAGAAGGTACACTTACTGCCACCTGGCCCACAAATAAAAAAATTTAATGATTTAAAATATTACATTTGTTATTTTTTGACTAGGCAAAATCTAGAGGGATTTTGACATAATTTCAAGATTTCCTAACTAGAACATCCTCGAAAACTATTATCAGTTTTGTCTAGATATGTTTGTGAAGTAATAAACGGGCCCATCCCAGCCCAAGGTCAGTCACCCGTTCCCTCATCCTATCATGTCTAAATGTTAAATAATTTTGTATTTTTTTGGCTTGGACGCCTAGATATGTAAAGATATTGCAAGACTTCTGCCGGCGCGGCGCCCATGTCTCTCAATATTGGTTGGCTATTTGACAACCAATTTATTGACCAAACGTAACCTTCAGTAAATTGATTGTTAACTCCGGGTATATTGAACACTCAAAATAATGAGATAGAATTAATAAATAACTCTTTTCCCTCTCCCAATCATGTACACTGAGTGCCTAATTAAATATAATTTTCGTAGAGAATAATTGTAAGATATTGTAAACGTAATTCTTTGAGGATTGTTTTGTTTTACAAATATTACAGCAGTGTGTGGGATCAGTTGCTGTTTGTATATTGTATTAATCAAAATTGGTAGCTGAATGTACCTACATTTCCAAAATAATATTTATTTTCTTAACCATTAATGGTAACGTAAAAAATGAAGTGATCGACCGTTATTAGAATTAGATGTGAAAAATGTAATGTTGTTAATGTTTTAAGATAAAAAGTAACTTTTGTAAAAACTGAATTTTTTACAATGTCTTGAAACATTTCTTGTGGGAACTCTGTTATGAGTTGAATTCGTAAGGACCCCGAATATTGTAACTATTTGTCGTCAAAACGTTTATTTTTATAAAATAAAATGTTTCAAATGATTTTTTGTGTGTTTTTGTTTTATTTTACCGTTCCTAGTATGTGGAAAAGCTGCAGGGTATCTGTAGGAAGGATGAATAAAATCAAAGGCCAGTATTTGTGTAAAAGATTCACTATATTGTTTTGTACAGTGAGCATTTATCAATTTCAAAACAATATCGCCCCTATTACACTAAGAACGACTTAAAATATTTTTCTCATTTTCCTTTCCACTAGACTTTAATACGACACGGTTCTAATTTCGTGGAATTGCTTAAATAATTGCTTAATCGTGTAAGACGTCATCAAAAACAAACATTTGAAAAAATAAAAACAGTCAAATGACACATTTAACAATACAAATAAGCAAAGGTAGGAATATCTAGCATTTACTCTATAGACGGTAATGGGACCTACAAATTTAAGTACTATCACGGGTAGCAGTCCTTGCAGTTCTTTGTACACACGATACATACGTTACTATGTAAAATGGTAAAACAAAAAGACTATCCAGCGACTAAACAATTTCATCAAACAAGAATTTACAATTCTCTACTGATCAATATAATAAAATCAAATAAAAATGGCCATAAAACAACGCATCGAATGTCTTTATAGTATCTTTTTAATTTAAACAAGATCTTAATAAGTAAAAGAAATATGAATAACATAAAATAATCTAAGGTAAATAAAGGAATATAATTTATTTACTATACATTTTCTCATCACGAATAACAGAATCTCACTCACTCTCTTCAAACTTACATCTAAATTTTCTAACTTCAAATACTATCCACTTAATTTTAATTTTCTTTCGATGGACTCATTTAACCTAATTTTGTTCCGTACATATTTACTATTGCTGTTACATGATTCAAATTATAAGGCCCCTTGAAACCCGATCCTAAAGACAATTCACAGGTTACACAACGAAGCATCGCCCGCCACGCCGCCGCTCGGCATGGCCGCGACGATTGCACTTTATGATCGCACCTACAATTAGAATATTCGACAACAAAAACAATGTCGAAACAGAAAACTAACCATAGACTAACAACAACAAATTATACTTATAATTTCAGAGTTCTCACTCAGCAAACCCATGTTTGCCAGGCAAAACCTTCCAAACAAAAATAGAAACCTCCACGAGGGTATATTATTAGGTATATGAGAAGCAGTCGTCCGCTATCGAATATCTGTACAAATGACCAGTCGTTGTATAAAAATATCCGAGTATATAAAATTGTAGGCAAAAGTTAGGGGTCGACTGTAGCTATAAGGTAAACTTTAAAATTTAGTGCACAAGGAACAGTTTGGTGTGTGAGGACTGTTGCCACGGCTGTGCTGTCGGCCAGGATCTCAGCGCGGCGCGCGGAGTACTTCACTTGTACTCCTCCTCGGCGTCGAAGTCGCCGTCCTCGTCCACGTCCGGCACCACCGCCGCCTGCTGCTGCGTCAGCGCCAGGGGACCCTTCTTGTACGCCGTCATCTCCTAGAAACACATTAACACGTTCAATACATATTGTATCAACCATCTGAAAAACCAAGTCGGCTGCAATATGTTCACCTATGTTCAGTTGTCATACGCAACACGTCAAGCTATCCCAAATTGTTAAATTCCAATTATTAAAACTATCAATTCAAGATTCGGTGCTCTATTGAACATAACTTACCTAAGACCATATTATTAGGACAAAAAAGGACTTGTTATAAAATTGAGAAAGAAGGGATCATCATAAATATAACGAGCCTTTATTAAAGAAATCTTGGTATTGGGACCGGTTTTTTATTTTCATTTCGAACACCAGACCTATCACATAAAGAAATGATTCGCACCTGCCGCCCGATCGGCAGGTAAGGGACCGTCGTTTGTTACATCTGAAAATTCCTACATATTATGATTCTAGTGTCACTGACAAAGAATTTACGGTAGCTATCTAAAATAATTTCGATTCCCGGGTCGGACAAAGTATTACTGCGCTTCTTAAAATTAATTCTCAGTTGTAGCATGGAGTCTGGAATGGCAATAGGCTCACCCCCTATTACATGGGATTCATAACATAAATAGTGAAAAGAGGGTGTTACATTGTACAGTGGCATTAAGTGCCGTAATACCTACCCCTTTGGAGATAAATGGCGTAAAGTTATGTTATCTATACTAATATTATAAAGCTGAAGAGTTTTTTTTTGTTCGTTTGTTTGAACGCGCTAATCTCCGAAACTACTGGTCTGATTTGAAAAATTCTTTCTGTGTTGGATAGCCCATTTATCGAGGAAGGCTATAGGCTATGAAATATCACGCTACCATTAATAGGCGCCGAGCAGAGCGAGTGAAACCGCGCAGAAGTAGCTAATCTAAAATAATATAATAGTTTTGAAAAGAGGTAAAAACAGAAAAGTTATGTTTAATAAAGCAACCGGCTCTCTCCTCTCTTTCATATTTTAAACTGCGGTTTTCAAACAGCATGCCGAGATTAAGGTTAACCCTGTTTACGTAGAGGAGACCCACAGTCCAACAGTAGACTATCACTATTGGTATATTGAAACATCTATGATAACGCGAATTAATATTATTTTAGTATTTGACAATAAGAGTTAATTGTTTGATGAGAAAATCTTGAATGACTTCATTATAAAGATTGTTGCTTATTTAGGGAGATAGAAACATATTCATTATTTATTACTAGCTTTTACCCGCGGCTTCGCTCGCGTCACAAAAGGATAAAAAGCCAATGTGACATATACCAATACACACAGCGCCATCTATACCAATACTTTTTTTTCCCTCGGGAATATCAATTTTTTCAGGGATAAAAAGTACCTTATTATTTAATCCGGACTTCTAACTTTACGTCTGCAAAATTTCAAAGCAATCGGTTTAGTAGTTACGGCGTTAAAGTGGAACAAACAAACTCACTTTCCGATTTATAATATAAGTAAGGAAGTAATGGTGTTTTCCGCTTACTCACTGTTTGACAAGGAACTCGACTAGTTTCAAGCCATGCATTTCATATTCATAACCAGGTCGCGGAATGTTGTTCAAGAATATGAGCCTGTAGCATGGCTTAAAACTAGTCGAGTTCCTCGTCAACCAGTTACGTGAGTAAGCCGAAAACATAATAAATAATTAGTATGTCTCACGCAAGTTTTAATAGAAACATATTTCCTAAAAATAATAGTAATGAAGACTTACCCTATCATATCTCGCCTTGTCCTGCTCCGATAAACTCTCGTACTTTGACTTGGTCTCGGGATCGGCAGCGGCCCAGCGTCTGCCCAACTCCTTGGCAATATCACCCATTGTATACTCCGGGTTATTTGCCTTCACCTTCGAACGCTCGTCATTGCAGAACCAGAAGAAAGCTGATCTGTTAAAATTAATACACGTTTATTAACTAGAAACAAACTACATATTACGTAATATGTTTTAAGGAGTTAAACAGCAAATTCATATTTTTAAAAATATTGTGTCAAAAAACGAAATCAAGTGATGATGGTATAGAAGCAAAATATATAGCAAGGGAACCCCAATCATGCTCAAAGAAAAAATAGTATTTATTTATTATAAAAATAGGAACAAGCACAGGGTGACAACTGGGTTAAAAAAAACTCATGACCATAACTCACAGCGATCTCTTGGGCGCGTTGGGGTCCTTCATCTGTTGCCGCTTGCGTCCGCGCACTTTCATGTCCTTAGGTGGCACGTAGTTCTGCATCTCCAGATCGAATCGTCTCTTATCCTGCTCAGCCATATCATGGAACCGTTGCTTCTCCTTCTCTGACATCGTCTGAAGGTAGAAAAATACATTTTGAGTAAGTTATTCGACAGATAGGGTATGAACATATTATCGTTTTATTATCGTCGCTCTGCTCGGCACTTATTGATGGTTTCGTGATGTTTTAAAGCCTATACCTTCCTCGATAAATGAACTATCCAATACAAAAAGAATTTTTCAATTCGGGCCAGTAGTTTCTGAGATAAGCGCGTTAAAAAAACAAACAAAGTCTACAGCTTCATATAATAGAATAAAGTATAAGATGAAACCTATATTAAAATAAGCATACTATAGTTATTTTTAATCTGTGTATGTGTTTTATGTCTTGACATGCTTAGCATGCATGCTAACATGCTATGCTACTTATAGCATAGTTGAGGAAAATAGATAAATTATAGGTCTCAGGTTAAATTCCTGTATTAATTAAAGCATATTATTGGGGTTTTTCTAAATACCTAGGTACCAACTCAGTATAAAATCGTCGTGGCCGTATGTAAATATTTACTGAGTACTAATTAATGCTAAAGTAAGAATCTACAACCAACAACATTTGCAATTTGCAGGTGTATGAGAATTTCAGTTATTTATGTAGGTATATTTGGCACACAATACACTAATATTGTGCCAATACTTCAGATCCTATAAAACTAACAATCAAGACATAACAGCAACACAGAACATGGCCAAAGTACGACATGTACATTTATTATCTTATCAGAGTAAAATTTAGAAAGAAGTTCAGTTTTGTTACAAACTTAACAAAGTCGCAAGAGATAGAATAAATCTATATTTATTTATATTAAATAAATCTATCGAATAAATCTATATTATATACAGTGTTGGTGCAATTTGTGCCTTAATTGAAATGTCCGACAGAAGGGATCATCTGCTAGCCCTTCAGGCCCCTTAACACCCTTCGTGCCCTGTGTATATTTTTTTATCGATGTTTTATTTTTATTGTATTACTAAAAACACCCAAACTTTACATGCAAATACAACTTTTCAAAAAAGTATAAGGTTGTAACTCTGGATTTTAATTTTATTTTAATGTGTATTGTTCAAGAGTACTTTTAAATACAAAATGAGTGACATTCATCACCTGTATCTGTTTTAATTGCCCCAGGCAAAGCTTAAATCAAAGCACAAGTACAAGGTACAAGTAGTTTAGTAATCAAAGTACAAGGTAAACAGATATAAGAGAAAACAAAAAGAAACTGGGATCTTACAACTTCCTCATCAATTCTCCAGTCTGTCCTCTTGCTAATGATATGCCACATGGCATAAAATCCTTTTTGATAACTTTGTGAATTCGTGAGAATTGTGAATCATGTCACATAAGACTACCTATATAGCAAATTCTAATGAATTTTTTTTTTATATAGTAACTGTTACTTGAGATAAAGGTAAAATTTGTTTTCTCACTCTTGCACAGTAAAATCTACCTTCCAATCTCTTTCTTGCATACCTTAAATCGAGTGAGTTTTAACTAGAATTATAACTCAAGAGTCTTTTTTTAAAGTTTGTATTTAAATGTAAAATTTGGGTGTTTTTTTTTAGTAAAAAAAATAAAACATCAATAAAAAAACCTCCACAGGGCATGAGAAGTTTCAAAGGGCCTGAAGGGCTAGCAGATGACCCCTTCTGTCAGCCATTTCAATTAGACACATGTTGCACCAAACACCTGTTTAAATAATCTAGATTAATAGACAATCTATCGATCTAGACACTAGATTTAAAAAATATGTTATCTAAGCATGATGTCAGTCAGACATATAATGGTCTTATTCTAAAGAACCGGGAACAGCTCATCTACACGCACCCTCTTTATAGACTGTCATAATATGGTGACTTTAAAAAAAATGTTTTATGCTTATAAATACAAACACACTGATATTATCTAAATAGGAATATTCAAATGACTAGGAAACTGAAAACAAAGTATATTGCTGACTTTAAACGGCTATCATAGTGATTGGACAACTAGCTGCTGCATAACGGATCCGGGTTCGACACCCGCACGGATCAACACTTTGTCATCTACGATGTTTCTCCAGGTTGAAGTGCAATGTGTATGTGAATTAATGACTGTAAACTGTAAATGCAGTAACAACACAAAATAAACCCTTAAAACAGATGTAAGCAGTGCAAAGCAATGCACATTTTGAAAAAAAAAGATTAATATATAAAGAATTTAATTACTTACATTCCACCTCTCAGCGCACTTCTTTGAGAATGCAGCAAAGACAACATTTTCATCAGGATGTTTCTTCTTGTGTTCTTCACGGCAGGTTTGTACAAAGAATGCATAAGCTGTCATGCGGCCCCTCGGCTTATTGTATGCCCTCGCCCTCGGCATCTTCTGTTTCCCAGTGGCCTGAGCTTGAGCTAGTAGCGCCTGCTGTTGAGCCTGATGCTGCAATTCCTGCACATTAAAGTTTCATTCTATGGCTTCAACACTTACTAACTACTAAAAAGGAATCTACTTACTGCCTTAAATTTTTATGGATTTACTCAAATAAATGTCATTTTTTTTCAAGCAATGATGCAGTTGTTGATGTTCTACCAATTTATATTTGTATAATATGTACTACATTTTACACAATAGTGTTATTAAATAAATTTAAAACTTTCTCATAAATAGGAGACTATTAACCTTTCTTTGACCTTATATGACTATTTATATAATGTTAACTTATTATGTAAATACAAATATTTATT